GTCTAGTACATTAAAGATATCTCCTTCTAGGGCAGTGGGCACTTTTGTTTGCATTTCATTATAGAAGATTCAGGTTATCTAAGCTTGGGGTTCCACTCCTTCAGTGCTGCCTGCTGCATACAGGTATCAYCTGGCTCTCTTCACATTGCCTGTGGGAGTCAGACCTTGGAGCCTAGGCATGGATGCTGATGCTCTGGATAGTGCTGTTGCTGTGAGCACTAAGGTCCTTTGTCTTTAATGTGGGAATCTCATGTCTTCTGTCAGCATCCAAGAGGCTGTAGTGGACTGAATTGTTGACTTGCAAATAGGGTAAAAAGTCTCAAGTCCTTCATGGTTCTTGACAATGAAGTTCAGATATTTGGAGGAAGAATGTTCAAGACACAGGGAACAACAAGTAGTAAAAAGGCCCTGAGATACTTGCTGTAGATAATATCATCTCTTAAAATTCTCTTTTAATCCCAGTGGCTTGGGAAGCTGAGGCAAGAGAATCATGAATTCAAAGCCAGCCTCAGCAAAAGCGAGGCACTAAGCAACTCAGTGAGACCCTGTCTCTAAATAAGATACAAAATAGGACTGGAGATGTGGTTGAGGTGTCAAGTGCCCCTGAGTTCAATTCCTGGTACTCTTGGACCACCTCCCCCATCCCCCCCAAAATTCTCTTTTCTGGACACTGAGGTGCACACATGTAATTCCAGCTACTTGGGAGGTTTGAGGCAGGAGGATCTCAAGTTTGAGGCCAGTCTGGGCAACGTAGTGAGACCGTGTCTCAAAATGAAAAATAAAAAAGGGTTGGGGATGTAGCTTGTGTCAAGTGCCCCTGAGTTCAATTCCAAGTACCAGGGGGGAAAAAATTCTGTCTTCCCCAGTGACTATTAAGTTTTTAAGGACAAGCAATTGTATTCATCTTTATACCCCTAACATCCAGCAAAATCATTGGTACATAGCAAATGCTCAAAAAGTGCTTGTTGAAATATATAGGAAAAAATAGTGATGCTTTGGATATAAAGGTGTTTCTTATGCCAGGATCTATGTTGCCAATTACTTTGGATTGTCTTTCCTTTTTTTTTTCCAGAGAGGTACACAATAAAATTGGCAAAAGAATTGAGTTTGGGGACTGGAGTTGTGGCTCAGCGGTAGAGCACTTGACTGGCATGTGTGAGGCCCTGGGTTCAATGCTCAGCACCACATATAAATAAATAAATAATATAAAAGTTCCAACTAAAAAAATATTAAACAAAAATGAATTGAGTTTGAAGTCATAAGTTTCCATCCCAGCTCTACCGATTAGTAGTCTGTACATATGGTCAAGTTCTGTACTTTCCTGTGAATAGATTTAGAAAAATCTTGTCTTCTCTGTTTTGATACTTAAATGCTAGGATATAAGAAATATACTAAGGGCTCAGGAATGAAACATTGCTTGCCATATAGTAATACCCAACCCATGGTAATGTCTCAGAAACTTACATCTACTACTGTTATTCCATCTTCACTGGTCCCCAAATGGAAAGGAAATGGGAAATATGATGATTTGCAACATCTGCAGGAGAAATATGAAAACAGAGAGGATCTATTACAGGATTCAATTTAGATTATTAGCCATTTCCATTTATTTAATAATAAATCATAATTGCTGCCATTCATATTCTCATAGAAGTTAACAACCCTGTGCTGAATTCTGCTGAGTTACTGGTTCCACTTTTTTGAGCTCCCTGAGTTCCTTATTAGTATAGTTTGCAGTCACTTATTGTTTTGTATGGGAGGTTTGACAGCAATATGGGACTGAGCATTCATTGCTAACTTGGGCCTTTTTTTTTTCACCCCAGAGTATACAAAGGAGAAACCTGGTGGCTTGGAGACTCCATTCCATATTTTGGGAAATCTAATTAAGAGTACCTCAATACAGTTTGACACAGAATTTTTCTTGGTGAATGTTTCAGTCAATCATTATGAGAAAGTGAGAAAGTAGCCTGTCACTGAATAGCTTTCCACCTCCTACATGTAGAAGAGCAGCCAGTTTAACGAGGACTCTTGGTTCATTCTTTGTTGCATTCAAGGAACAAAACTGTCAGTGCAGTTTTTTTTTTTTTTTTTGCACAGTATTAGTGATTCATAGCTTTTCCTAAATTTTTTCCAATTTTTGATTCATCATTTCTTGAGTTTCTTACTCCAAGTGTAAAACTGTGCTAGAGACTGTTCCAGTGACCAAAGTAGACACAGTAACTGAGAGTTAATTGTGCTGCAGTTGGTGATAAACCACACCTGGAGAAACATCAAGATGGGAAAACATTTGCAGATAGACAATGCAGGGCTTCATGTTCAATACTAGAACTTGGAGAGGAAGCAGATAGTGAACTGTTATCTAGCTTAGTCATGAGCAAGGGCTACAGGAGCAATCTGGGGAGGAGGTAAGGCCATTAGAGAAGTTTCATGTTGGCCTATGGTCTTCTTGTTGTGACCCTTTTACCATTTTTTTCCCCTCCATTGTTCCATTGCTCAAATAGTTGCATAGTTAATAGTGTCCTCTTTATATAGAACAAGCAATTGATCCTTTGATACATCATGACAAAATGGGGAAAGATTCTACTATTAGTTGAACATGTGGATTGGATTTGGAATGGGAATGTTCTGAAACAGAGTTAGTTTGGTCTTGGTGATAGTCTCTGTAATGGGTCACAGGTCCTGTGCACTCCACTCTCCCTTCCCTCTCATTGGCTTTCTTGGCTGATTTTTGTGCCATTGTAGGTCCTACATGTTATGCTAAGGGCTTTATGAACCTTTTCACAAAAACTCTGGGTGGTATAGTTAATGCAGAAACTGAGATGTAACAATCAAAGGCATGGGTGTGGAATAGAGATTTCCAAAAGAACTTTAGAGTTCTTGCTTAGCATGTGCAAAGCCCTGAGTTCAATCCCTAGTAGTACCACAGTTGGGGGTGGGGATAGTAAAGGTTCAAAAAGAACTATAGAGTGGGGAAAAAATGATAAAGGATTAGAATCTCAAAAAATACCAATACTCCAGAGGAGCAATGGAAGAGAAGCCATTGTGAAGGCCTTTCAGGAAAGTTTAGAAATTTGTGACAACTTTGGATCAGGTGGAGGTGAAGGGATTGGCCCTGCACTTACACTCCAGTTCTACTAAGTAAAACAAGCATTGCAGATACTAAATGATGGTCTGTAAGATTCTGATGTGCCTGTTACATGGGGATATAGGGTTGAGAGTGTCACAAAATGAAAACACACTAATATAACTCAGAATACTGACTGAGGAATTCACAAGAGAGAAACATCAGAGGTAAGCTGGACCAGGAAAAGCTTACAAGAGAAGGTGGTTTTTACCATAATATGATCAAAAAATTAAGACAGAAGATTTCACTGTAAAGTGAAGAGAGCATTAAATCCCAGGTTCTAGTCGTGGGACCATCTCTGGTAGGTAGCCCTAGGCAAGCTCTTCAATCTTTTTGGACATGACTTGGTTTTCTAGGAACTCACTAACTCTAAATTCAGAGTCCATGGAGAGGAGAATAGCTGCTTTGCATAAACACTCACATAGTGCCATTTACTTGTATCAGATGCTTTCAACAGGTGATTTCTCAGAGGGCCTGAACCAGGAGTCAGGAGCAAACAGGAAAGCTAACCCTGCCTGCCCAAGCTTGGGAGAACAGGTATTGTGTACGATGAGATCCGGTTCAGTTTTGGTTTTGCTTTGGCTCTTGATGGAATCAGATGGTTCATTTTTTCCAAGAGAGACAGAAAGAACAGTCGGGTTTAAGAGCAAGAGCCTTGGAGTAAGACTTGTGTTTATATTCTGGATCTGCCTTTTGTACCCTGCATGACCTTCAGCAGTTTATTCCACCTTCTTAAGCCTTAATCTTTGTTACCTAAAATTTTGGGATAAAGATATGTACTTCTAGGGAGGTCGTGAGGATTAAAGGATAATGTATACAGACTCCAGAGCACAGTGCGGGGCACACAGTAGCTAGTTACAAAAAGAAGTCGGTTGCTTCCACGAGGGCGAGCTATTGTTAGTAAGAACCTCGAAGAAAGGGAGTGAACGTTCAATGGCAGTTGCCGCTTTCCCAAATCTCTGCCAGGCCGAAAGCCAACGTCCTAGAACTTAAAGGGACTTTTGACGGGTGGAACCTAGAACGGGTGGGACTCCGAATCTCTCGCGTGGGCGGAGGTGGTGACAGCGCAGGCAAGGAGGTGTCTCTGTGTCCCGCCACGAGAAGGTCCAGCGGTCCCCTTCCCTCGGGAAGTTGGTACCTGAGAAGAGGCTGTCCTCGGGGCCCCCAGCGTCTCAGGGGCCGGTGCTGAGGCGGGATCCAGAAAAAGAGAGGAGGGGCGACAGGGGGACTTTCCCCGCCTCTCTCCCTCGTTCCATAAATCACCGCAGCCACCGCAGCGGCGGAGCCGGGAAGTGCACGGAGCCAGAGCGCAGCGTGGTGGCACCAGACACCTCCCTTTCCCCCACCTCTTTCTCTTTCTTTCAGTGTGCGTTTTTTAAGCCTCTCCTCTCCCTCCTCGTTCTGTGGCTGCCCCAAGCGCGCAGCCGGTCGCCGCTCCTCCTCCGGGTGCGATCGCCCGCCCTTACCGCCGCGGCTGCAGCCTCTTTGCGCCTGGACTCGGGAAGCGAAAGCGGCGCGGCTCGCGGCTGCTCCTGTCGCCCCACCGCCGCCCGCGCACCCGGCCTTGGGCGCCTTTCCGAGTCGCCCACCGCGCCGCGGAGCCCTGCGGGTGCCCCGCGCCCTCAGTGCGCTCGGGCGGCCGCTTCCTCTCCCGCCCGCCGCCGCAGCCTAGCGATGGTGGCCGCCCGCGCTCCCGCGCTGTAGCCGGGCGCCCCCTAAGTTTGGGAGCCGCCGCCACCGCGGCGCAGAGACCAGAGTGCAGAAGAGGAAGAAAGTTTTGTGGGGTGCGCCAAGCGGGCCCTGGGCGCACCTCCCGCTGCTTCCTTCCCGCTTCCCCACGCCTGGAGCCGGTCGGCGGGGAGTGGCCCAAGGCAGCATGGCCCGCGAGCCGGAGGAAGAGGAGACGGTGGGGACTGCAGCCCTGGCCCTCCGCTGTCCGGGCTCGCCTGGTTGGGCCGGGGCCGGGGCTGGGGCGACCCGGCCGCCGCTCTGGCTGCTCTGCCTGCTTTCGTGCTGGCTCCTGGGCGCTGTGGCCAACGCCGACTTCTCCATCCTGGACGAAGCTCAAGTACTGGCGAGTCAGATGCGGAGGCTAGCGGCCGAAGAATTGGGGGTCGTCACCATGCAGGTAAGTGACCCCCGCCCCTTCGTGCACCGGAACTTGCCAGGTATTCTGCCTTTCCTCTTTGCCCAGGGCCGACCCTCCTTTTGCATGCACAGAGCTCCCTGTCCTGCCGGACTCCTCTGTCCTCTGCACAGATCCCAGACTACAACCAGCTCCTCTTGCATGCACTCATCTACCCCTCTTTCTCCTCTGCAGAATCCCCTGCCCTCTCCATGGAACCCACTTTCCCCTGCACCGCTCCCCTCTTCTGAGCACCAGATCATTTTTGTCGGCCTGAATTCTCCGGTTTCCTCGCACCTTTTCCCCTGATTTGTGCACGTTTCCTCAGCAGGCGTGTTTTCACCCTGCCACCCCTGCAAACTCCCCTGTTTCTTTGTGTCCCCATCCCGGAGCACCAGGCCCCTCCTGGCTTGGGCGATTTTCGAGGACCCCACCCCTTTCACAGCCTTGTATGTCCTCCAGACCAAGGCGCACCCCTGGGCGCCGGAAGGGAAGGTACTAGATCTTATACCCCGTTGCTCTGGGCCACCCTCACTCACATAGGAGGGCTGCCCCGGAGCAGCCTCCGCGCCCCCTTTCCCCTCCCGGATGCTTTGGGGGAGGGGCTGGCCTGATAGATTCCCGGCTCTGGTCCTGGTGTGTGTGTGTGGGGGGGGGGGGGACTCTATTTGTTGCTTTCCGCTTTTGCTGCTTTTTGATTTTTGTTTTGTGTGTGCCTTTGGGGAAAAAGGGACAAGGGAGCAAAGTGAATAGGATTCCCATTTCTCCAGATTGTTTACCGTGGCAGTCCTCCCTAGAAGAGGGGCTTACAGAAAAAAAATTGCCCGCGGCTAATAAGGAATCCTGATGATGTTACAAAAATAACCCAGAGTAGTAAAAATTGCTCTACAGTAACCACCTGGAGATTCTATCTCGCCGTTATTTTAATCGTCTTGGCCGAGAAGGCCCACTCCATTAGGAAAGGTTGAGATGACATTCCGAGTCTGAAACCTTTGCTGTAACATTCTTACTACAATAACACCGTTCTCTTATACACTACATTCTAACAATAATGGTGGTGAATGGGGTCTTCGAAAGAGGAAGTTTCCAGGAATGTGTTCTTGGAATAGGTTTCTAATTTCCATCCTGCTGTGACTATTCCATCTCCCAGGGGCTAGGTATTTGGAATTACTTTGGGATTCAGGTTTCTGACATCTACACACACACACACACACACACACACACACA